AAAGTTAAATCAAAGTATTTAATTTTCGAATCGAATAATTCTCATGCTTAATTAAACTTATTATCTATAAAGTCAAAGTTTATAATTATTAAAATTGTTAAATTACATAATTTGAATAAAAAAAGATGCACGATTAAACTTACCATCTACAAAGTCAATTATTATTAATATGGATAGTTAGATTATAATATTCAATCAAATAATTATCATGTTAATTAAACTTACTCCCTATAAAGTTAATTATTATCAATATAGTTATAGTTAATCACAATTTACGAGTTGAATCAGATTTATTGTTCACTGAACTTACGCTCTGTAAATTTAATAATCATTAATATATCAGAATTAAATAATTTGCGAATCGTTAATAATTATGCTTGATTAAAATTACCTGCTATAAAGTTAATAATTATAAATACAGTTGATCATGTAATTTGCGAATCTAATAATAATAATAATCTAGCTCAAACTTACCAGCTACTGTATAAGGTTAATAATTGCGTGTTAATATAGATAAATCTCAAAATATTCGAATCGATGGAAATTATACTTAAGAAACTTACGATCTAAAAAGTTAATAGCTATTAGTATAGCCAAATTATATAATTTGCGAATCAAATAGTAATTATAATAAATTAAACTTACATTCTATAAAGTTAATGATTATTAATATAGTTTATTGAATAATTTCAAAAAAAATAACAATTATACTTACTCCCTATAAAGTTAAGAATTTTAAAATTAATTGACTATCAATATACTGTATTTGAATCACATAACTAGCGAATCAAGTATCAATTATGCTTGTTTAAACTTACGTTCTATAAAGTTAATAGTTGTTAATATAAAGTCAATAATCATCAATATAGTTGAATCAAAATCACAAGTTGCGAGTAAAAATGATCAAACCTACGTTCTAATGAGTTATACGTTAATTTAATTTAATAACTTAATATGCGAATTGAATAATTATGCTTAACTCAGCTAAACGAACTATAAAGTTGTTAATTGTTAGTGGACAAATTATATATATAGTTGTCAAATTGAATAACAGTTGTGTTTAATTAAAACTACATTATTTAGTATTAATTTAGTTTGATCACATAATATAATAACTATAATGTACTTACTGTAAATAAACTCACGTTCTGAAAGTTATCAAGCATTAACATAAATCTCGTATATGTAATTTGCGACTCAAAAACAATTATATTTGATTAAACTTACGAACTAATAGATTAACAATTACTGCATTAGTGTGATAAATTATATGATATGAGAATAAATAATAATGTTTTGGATTAAACTTACACGTTGCGGTATAGTCATTATAATTAAATCACATCATTTGCGAATCGAATAATAATTATGCTTGATTAAACTTACGAACTACGTATAAAGTTAATTATTATTAATATAGTTTAATCTTCCAATGTAGTTGGTAATTATCAACATGTTAAGCGTTACTTGTATAAATAAGATGCAAGTACTGTAGCGCTTCATCCACGGTTGGACGAACTGAAGGTTCCGTATCCCAACATCTAAGATAAAGTTGAACAAAGTTTGACGGAGTTCCAATAATAGGGTCCTCGCGTATATTTTGAATAATAACTGCTTATAATTGAAATATAATCCATCCCATCGAATGGCGGATAACAACTAGAAATTTCCCAAAATATTACGCCAAGACTGTAGATATCTGATTCCTTTTTTAACTTATAGCGGGTGTCTAAAATTTTTTGTGGGTCCATAAATGGAAGTACTCCAAGAGCAGTATTTTTGCTTGAAGTGGCACTATTAAGATCCTTAGACAATCCAAAATCTGCTATTTTTATATCACCTTCTTTGACCAAAATATTCCTTGTATGCTATGTACATGAAAAAATATTAGTAAATCAAATAAAAATTTTCCAAATATATTAACTATAAAAGCTTTCCAAGACTATGCCATATTACCAAATCACGGTGTGCCACATTTATTACGTTATGAATGTAAGAAACTCCCTCGGTTAAATGAAATGCAAGTTCCATTTTTTTATCCCATTCAAGCTCATCTTTCTTTTTAGATAAATATTCTCTTAAATCACTGTTGGCCAACTCCATTACCAGGTAACATGAATCTTCATCTACATCTGCATCGAATAAGTTATGGCAACCATTATCTTAAAAATTTGAAAATATAAAATACCTACTATAACTTATTCCAATAAACTTTATTATCCGAGAATTTTCGGCCTTACTGTGTAATTTTAACTAAAAAAAAGATAGAGTGATGCATATATTGTGATCTCTTAAAGTCAAAAACTTAACATAGATTCTTACCTCATTAAGAAAGGTCTTAACCAACCTCGCGTCATCTTTTAATTTTTTCCATGATTTCGTAGTTAAAAAAGTAAAAAAAAAATTTTTTTTTTTTAAAAGCA